ATATAACAAGAAAGAACTACAGCATACCTCAAATTTTCATTACTTTTTAAATTTTATTTTATAATATCATAGACTCCATAGGCCTTAGGAAGAACAGCAAGTGGAATCTGAATGGATCCTAGAAAGCTGATTAAATAAATGTGGCATGGTTTACAAAAAAAAAAAAAAAAAAAAAAACAGTTCAAATGCTGTATTTTTGAGTTGTTTCAAAATACAATATATTTTGTACATTTGCACTACAAAAATGCCATTATTATCAAATTTAAGCCTTATTATATTTAAAATGTATATTTATTGTTTAAATCTCTACATAATTTTTCCATTAAAACACTTCTAAAAGAAGAAAATGAAACTTTGCATTTTTCTATAATCAATGAACAATCATTTCTCTTGATAAAACATGCCACCTATGTTCATGGAATAAACTTTCCAAAGTGCTGGTTGACTTAATTTAATGTTTTGCTGATTTTCCACTATGGTGCATTCTAAATAAACTAGCCCTTTACCACTGTGTAAGCAGGAAAATGACTCTCACAGACACAGTAAATTGAGAAGAGGGCTTTTTTTAACCTTAGGCAATTAAAATAGAGTGGCCTTTGTCGTTATACCACTGACCTTTCATCTGAGTCTAGTAGCAGTGCTACTGACAAGTGCTCTGATAGGTTAGGTTGAGCAACTATAGCAGCTACGACTTACAGAATATACATCAAATAGGATTATTTTCACATAATATACTCTATGATGACCTGTCTGAGAAGTCAGTCAAAGTAACTTTATTTTCCAGTTCTTGTTTTCAATTATTGTTTGAGCCACCTGGCCTCAAATGGTCTATCAACAGTTGAGAATTGAGTAATGCATGGGACTACATTGCTTTGAAAAGAGAAAGCAATCAATAAGAAAGCACAGTCTTCTCTCAACAGCAGAGTCTAGATCTTTGAAGAATTCTGAGTCAAGTGGCATCACTGCCTACTCTTGTGCCATTTGCAGGACTTGAACCCTGTCATATTTATGCTTCAAAGTAAGTTAATTCTGTACAAGTGACTGCATTTGGTGTACTCTCTCTTGGGAAAAGGAGAGGGGAGAAAGGCAACAGCATATATTGTTCTCCCAAGATGTTAAGTGTCTGCCAGACAGCAGGTCCTATTCTAGGTTCTGTAGACTTAGAAGGGAAGACACTTTCTCCTCTCAAGGAGCTTTCTCTGTTAGGAAGACAGACATGTAATTTTTCTATCTGGGAACCTGGGAAATTCTTACAAATTCTTCAATTTTTGGAAGTTTTGTTTTGAGAGATTTGCTTATTTTCTACCCTTCCAAATTGGCCAAAGGGGCCACAGAATCATCTATCAATTCAATTTCTATCATAGCTGAGATTTAAAAAAAAAATAACCAAAATTGAGATGACGTGGTGGCTCACACCTGTAATCCCAGCACTTGGGAGAATTGTTGGGAGTTCAAGACCAGCCTGGGCTACAAAGTGAGCTCAAGGCTAGCCTGCACTGCATAGCAAGACCTGGCCTCAAAAAAGACAAAAAAAAAAAAAAAAAGTAACCAAAGTTAATGAAAAGGCTGTTAGTTTTGAGGAGAGTAAACACAGCCTGGTAAGCACCATTCTAACTATAAGCTTTCCAGAAGTTTTCAAGGAAGGAGTGTCTCATGGGTACAGTTTCAATTTTGTAAAATAAAGAGTTGTGGGCTTGAGGATATAGCTCAATGGTAAGCGCTTGTCTAGCATACATTCCACTGGGGGGGGGCGGTTCTAGGGAGACAGTAGATGTAGGTGGGTCACTTTGCCTGTGACCTGGAAAGGCAAATTCTTTTTTTTTTTTTTTTTTTGTCTTTTTCTTTTTTATCGGTACCAGGGATCAAGCTCACGACCACACACTTGCAAGGCAGGCGCTTATCCTGCAGAGCTAAATCCCCAGCTCCTGGAAAGGCGAATTCTTGACCCCATCTCCTCCCTTTTTACTCTGCTGCGTGGCTGTCACTGTTATGGCAGAGTATCTTTTTTCTACCATGCTGTCTTTGCCTTGGAGCTAGCCAAACATGAACTAACTCCTCTGCAAACCATGAATCAAGATAAATCTCTCCTTTAAATTGCTGCTGTCAAGCCAGGCATAATGGTACATACTTGTAATCCACCACTCGGGAGGCTGAGGCAGAAGGAACTCTGTGAGTTCAAGGCGAGTTTGGACTACATAGTGAGTTCAAGACTAGCCTGAATTACATAGAGAGATGATGTCTCAAAAAAACAAAAACAAAAAAAGAAAAGAAAATGGAAAAGGTTCCTACTGTCTTATATTTTGTCACAGTGACAAGGATACATACTGGTTACTAAATATTGAAAAATGTAGAATAATTTGCTCAATTCAGAAGGGATTTGGGGATGGGAATGGTGATGTGCACCTATAATCTCAGTACTCATGAGGCTGAAGCAGGAGGATCATTGCAAGTTCAAGACTTCGGGCTACAAAGTGAGCTCCAGTTCAGCCTGAAATGCAATAGCAAGACCCTGTCTCAAAAAATACAAACAAAAAAAAAAAAAGAATTTTGAGAACACAATTCAAAGTTCTGTATAATAAAATTGACATTATAATAGCATTCCAAAATAATACAAAAACAATAATACACAGAAAATATTGATGAGTATAAAAAGTAAATAAACCAATCCTATCCACTTCAAATGCAGACAACCACAGGATTAAGATTAACCACAAGCATCCCAAATAAATATGATACCTACTTTCCTTTCAAAAAACATAAACTTGGAGAAAGCCTCATTTGATCATGATCCTTCTCCCATTTCCCAAGTGTATCAGTATCAGTATTTTAGAAAACACCAGTGTCACTGTCAAAGAGTTGAGAGACTTCATTAGATGTCCCTCAAGGAGTTTCTTCTGAAACCTGGTGTGGTGGTGCACACCTGTAATTCCAGTGCTCTGGGAGGCTAAGGCAAGAGAGAATCATAACATTAGGCCTCGCCTGGGCAATTTAGCAGATCCTGTCTCAAACAAAACAAAACACAAAGGTAAGGCTGAGGGTTGGGGCTCTGGAACAGTGTGAAGGCCCTGGTTTCTATCCCCAGTGCATTTTTCTCCAGAAAACTACAGCATGAGACTATTGTGTATTTAAATACCTGCCCAGGGCAGGCACATGACAAATGTTCACCAAAATGAAGATTCATGTGGCCTTGGACTGCAAATTCATTGAAGAACTTCACAAATAGCACATGTGTGACTTTTCTTCTTTAAAAGACACTCCATGACTTGCAGTCTGAGAAGCACCTCATGTTGAATCATGGGTCTATTACTTAACATTCATCACTTTATTTCACCATATAAAATCTTCAATGTTAAGATCATTTGAACTAACAAATCTTGTAAAATGCAAGCATTTGTGTAAGAACGTGTCACTACTAAAGCAATGTTATGGCCTCAGTCTAGTTTACTCCTTTATCTAGTTGAAATATTGGGCCCTAGAGCAAGAGCTTTTCAGAAGGAAGAACAGCTGGAAATGCTACCACTGGAGAAGTAACACTAAGCAACAAAAGGGCAGTGCGATGAGACTGGACAGCCACAGGAAAGGCTAAAGTGGAAGGGGATATGGAGAGGGTCAGCTTGAAGATGAACACAAATGTAATCTAGTACTCAGCACAGAAGAGGCACAGTTCTAAACCATTTACTTCATCGTAGGGGCTATTTTTATCCCCACTGATGGTTGGAAAAACCAAAGCATGAAGAATCTGAGTATCTCCCAATGCTTTCCAAGAACTTACTGTCACCACTTCTTAGCGGTCACTTTCACTATTTTTTTTTCCCATGACCTCCAATAGAATATATATCTGTTGGTACCGTGATCAAACTCAGGCGCTCTGCCGCTGAGCTATATCCCGGCAACCCCCAATAGGAACCAAAGCTAGGTAACAGCTTTGTGAATACTTTGATCAGATGTAACACATTTGTCTCGTTTTGTTTTGTTTTTGAAGCAGGGTCGTGTTCTGTAGTCTAGGCTGGCCTTGAATTTACTATGTAACCTAGGCTAGCCTCAAACTCTGATCTTCCGGGCTCAGCCTACTATTACAGACATGCACCTATTAGGACGACAGGCAACCATGGCAGGTGGCCTGTCAGAGACTGTAGCCAGGCCTCTTACTTTAGACATGGAGAAGTCAAGGCTCAGAAACCTCTCGGGCCATGTTTTTTTTGTTGTTGTTGTTTGTTTTTTTTAATCCAAACAAAGAAACATAACACATCGGGATACAGGAGGCATCAGAAGCCGGGTCGCTCTCCCTGCACCATCCAGGCTTCCCACGAAAGATCTGCTGTGCGGCTCCACGTAGCTCTCAGCTCCGCCAGGGACAACTCAACCTTGATCCTGCACCAGTTCCAGGAAGACACACCTGGCCGCGGCACCGCCCCCTCGGCACCATTAGGAGCCGGAGTATCAGCGTCCTCTCAGCCCACCGGAGCCCACCCGCAGCCCCAAGCAGCAAGGCAGCCGAACTCTCGCGAGACCTGTGGTCCTGGCCCACGGCTCCCGGAAGTAGGCGAGATGACAGGCCCCGCCCACCGCAGCGCGCGCCCGCCGGCGGGGTCAGGTCTCGGGACGCTCCCTGCCTGCCAGTCACGCCGCCTGGGCTGGGCCCGCGCCGCCGCCCCGCCCTCTGCCCTTCACGCGCCCTGCCTCCCAGCTGCGGCTTCGGCGGCTGTCGCGGTGCCGGCCCCCGCGAGCCCTGTCCCGGCGGGCGCAAGGCCGCAGTGTCTCCGACGCCGCACGTACAACTCGCTCGCCGTAAGTGCTAGGAATGCTGCCGGCCGGCTCGGGGCAAATGCGGGCTTTCTATCTATAGCTCTCTCTGTACATCCCAGGGCCGCGGCAGCTATTCCCGGGGCAGCAACTGCTCCCCGCTGCTCTCCTCTCCCCATTGGTGGCTTCCGACCCGAATTTGGGAATGGGCGATCTCCCACCTGTTACCGTGGCACAAACTAATCTCCCGTAAGCACAAGTGCCATTTCCAGCGTGCACTGCCATTTGGCTTTGGGCTGGAAAAAATTTCCCCCAACTCCAGCCTTTTCCCAAATGCATTGTTTTTCTCTAGGAATGCTTTAACTTGTTTTGTTTAGCTGTAAGAATTTGTAACACGGTATTTTTGCTTCGGTCTTATTGTACTTGAAGGGAGGAAACAACTGTTAATGTATAAAGCTACGTGTTTCTCGTTGCACTTTTAGAGTTAAAACACATTTAGAATATGTAAGTGCTGCTGTCACTTCTGGAGAAATTAAGGTAACGGTTATTTTCTTTTTTCCTAATTCCTTTTTGTTCTCACAGGGGTAACTCATTCGACACTGGAGTTCTTTTAATTCTTCTGAAAGATTTCAACTCCTCCAGAATCCAAAATGGAACACAGTAAACAGATTCGAATTTTACTACTGAACGAAATGGAAAAGCTGGAAAAGACCCTTTTCAGACTTGAGCAAGGTCAGTAGCAAATCATTTGAGTAGCATGTTTGTGTCTTTTAAATTCGTAATTTATTGATGGTCCTATTAAATCTTTCAGACATTTAAGTGAAGATCTGGAGGATGTAGCCGAAAAGTGGAGTGTGTGCTTAGAGTTAGTATGAGCGGTTTCCTAGGTTTAAGCTCCAGCTTAAACAAGCCAAAAAGAAAACAAAACTTTGAATTAGACATAGTTGGATCTTTCTAAAACTTGATTTGTGCAGAAGGTGGTGCTGTGTTCCACAAATATTAGTATTAATGGTTGATTTAAAAAACATTTTATATCTGTCATGTTAGGACAGAAATAAAATAGTTCACTTTGCATACTATTACTGAAGGCAGAAGCTACGTATGTAATCAAAAGAGTGGCTATATTATTTCTAATAGCACTTATTAAAACAAAATACTTTATAGATAATTTTGCTTTGAATGTATCTATAGTTTTGGTTTTTTATAGTTCACTCTTTCTTTACTCAACTTTTCAGTTAAGAGAGAACAGCAAAAAGTATATTATTTGAGGGCTGGAGATTTAGCTCATCAGCAGAAGCGCCTGCCTGGCAACTGCGAGGTCAGAAGTTCGATCCCTGGTATCAAAAAAAAAAAAAAAGTTACATTATTTGTTTATCAGAAGCCTCTCAAATACAGAGAAGGAAAGTAGAAAATGTTTTATTCCCAAATAGCTTATTTTGATCGGTTTATTTTGATTGAAAAATATTTGAGCTGTGATTAAACAGATCAAATTAGGGCTGGTAATATAGCTTAGTGGCACAGCGCCTGCCTGGCAAGCGCAAGATCCTGAGTTCAATTCCCAGTACCAAATAAGTGAATAAACAAACAGCTCAAATTATATTTCTGTGAGGTAAATGAATAGTTTCTCAGACTTTGTAATTTTTCACCATTTAAAAACATTTCACGGGGGGCTGGGGATTTAGCTCAGCGGCATAAACGCCTGCCTTGCAAGCAGGCAGTCGTGAGTTCGATCCCTGGTACCGATAAAAAGGAAAAAGACAAAAAAAAAAAAAAAAAAAAAAAAGAAATAATAGGAAAACATTTCACACTTACGTAAATGTGTGAAATAGAGGATTAATATATGAAAGATAAAATCCAGTCCCCTTTAAGTGTGTACCACATGGGCATTGATAAATACTTTGAAGGAATTTTATTTCTCTAATATTTTAAGCCTTAAAATTTTGAAACAAAAAATTCAACCATCTGATGTTTTCCATCCATGCCAGTCCTCCTCCTCTTCCAACTTTGTGTGACATTTAAGGTCACTGAGTAGTTGCACCATTTTTGGTTTTCCTGACTCTGCACTTTTCCAGTTTTGGCTTTTCCCCCTCTACCCTCAAGTATCTTGTCATCCTGGAGCCCATCTTTGGGCTCTATTCTTTCCACGGTTAAATTAATTTAACTGTGGTATATACAATACTAGGAATTTTTTTTTTTTTAATGTCTGTCTGAGTCAGGGTCTTGCCATGCAGTTCAGGCTGACCTTGAACTCGAAGTGGTCCTCCTGTTTTAGCCTCCAGAGTGCTGGGATTACAGGCATGTGCTACTAAACCTGGCTTCCTTTCTTTTTCTGTTTTCCGCCCCTCAAGGAATTATGCATTCTCATAGCCTCAGCTCTTACTCCTATGCTTTGGAAAGGGCCATGAGCTTTGTTTTTCTCTTTGAAGCTTTTAAGTATAGTATGACATGGGTAGGGAACAAATTTTTCTGACCCCACAGTTAACTATGAGACTATAAGCAAGTTACATTAATTCTAAGCATTCGGGGCTGGGGATTTAGCTCAGCGGCTTAAGTGCCTGCCTTGCAAGCAGGCAGTCGTGAGTTCGATCCCTGGTACCAATAAAAATTTAAAAAGACAAAAAAAAAAAAAATTCTAAGCATTGATTTCTCTATTTGTGACATGGGGGTATTTGCTCATCTATGAACTTTCTGAGTTTTAAATTAGTAATATTATTTGGTTTAGTCCTCAATAGATAACAGTATATTATTTAATCAAATAATATTATTTGATTAAAGTCCTCAGTAAGTAACAGTGTAAAGTATTTGTAGATCACTCTGCCTATCCTCCTCCTGGAGCTTGGCTTCATCCCAATACTATGATTTGGAATAGTCGTGGTGCAGATCTTCTTGGTTGAGCTTAAATCTAATGTGTCTAATTCCCCCTCTCCAGTTCCTAAACTGCCTCTGAAACTAGCTTCCCTGATTACTTTCTTTTATTTCTCTGCTTATTTTAGTGATATTTCTATTTTCATATTTTCCCAGGTTAGAACTTTATATTCTTCTTTGAATTTCTCTTCCTTCTAATTTCTCTTTAACCTCTATAATTTCTATGTATCTCTGCCTTCCTGAAACTTCTGCCTCTCCCATGTGATCAAATATAGATGTCACAATGATCTACTTATACTGTATAGTCTCTTTTTCTGTTTCTTGGTATCTATAAAATCTTAAACACCTGTTCCTGGCTTTTGCTTTGTTTTGTTTTTGACTTTGCTGTCACTGTGTATCCCATTTGAATTCACTATGTGTCCCAGGCTGGCCTCAGATTCACAGTGATCCTCCTGCCTCAGATTCCCAAGTACTGGAATTACAGGTGTGTGCCACCGCACCTGGCATCATTCTGTAGTGGGACCTTTCCCAGGCAAGATAGTATCTCATTGTTTCCCATCATTAGAGTGTAACATCTTCACAGTTTCCCTGTTCTCTCCTGTTAATTCCCTCCCCAGACCTGACCTTGCACCCCAACTCCGATCAGATTCCTCTGTATCTGTTAGATCCTTTTTATTCTCAGTCATCTGAAAGGCTGCCTTCTTGAGGAAGTCTTCAGTATTTTATTCTCTTAGCTTTGATTTCCAGTTACACTTAGTAAATACAGAACAACTAAGTACTGAACAGTGAACCAGTGTCTAAAAGCTTGTTAGTCTTATGGTGTTGAGCTAGAGCTTAAGATTTGTGAGGAGAGAGACAGTTTTACAAGCTTAGTGCATTGTATAAGAGTTAATAAATACTTGTTGATTGATTTCCCAAAACCAGTTAAAACTGACAAAAATGATAAATTCACTTAGACTATTTGAAGACAGAACTGTGAAGGTTATAGAATAAGAATTAGGTTCATAACTCTGGTTAAAACAAGTAGATTCACCTAAATGCTATAAATGGGGATACCACTTTTTTGTAGTAATAATGTGCTTGTGTTATTTCAGAAAAAATTTGTAACGTGAAAGTGAAGAGAGGGAATATTGGCACAGATTATTCAGAAGGCTTTTTTTTTTTAAGTAAGGCTTTTTTTTTTAAAGTAAGAGATTCTTTTTAAAAGTAAGGATTTAATGTATTAGCTGAAAAGTGAGGACAGTATGACACATTTTAAAACTAATACAACTTGGTGACAAATGTGAGGAAAAAGTTTCTGCTTATTGACTTGAACACCAAGCTCCTTTCCAAGATCTTTTCTTTTTTCCTTAATAAAGAATTCCTATTCATTTGCAAGATTGAAATTTCTAAAGATATTTAATAGAACAAGTATAGGACTAAATATTGGTCTGCATAGCTAAATCATAGATTTTCCTGAATTTCTTCCCTAATTTAGTGGTAGCATTATAAACAAAATCAATATTCCTCTGTCCTGGAATTTATCTGTTACATAGGTTGGTTTCTTTTACATAGGTTAGTTAAATTTCCATTTTTACTATTTAAGAAAATATATACTGTTGGGAAGCTGAGTCAGGAGGAATGCTATGAGTTTGAGGCTAGCCTGGGCTATGGAGACAGTTTAAAGCCAGAATAGACTACATAGTGAGACCCTGTCTCAAAAAACCAAAAAAAAAAAGAAAGAAAGAATGTATATGTAGCTTGATTAAAATCTTGAGCTTCTATAAACTGGGTGGAAATAAGAGTTTCAATTTACAATAATACTTTAATCCCTTATCTCATCTTGCTGATTGTTTTCAACAAGGATGTGACTGATCCAAGTAAAGTATTCCTGATGTTAGCATGAGGAATAAGATAGCCATGCTATGTACTGTATGACCTAAGCTAATTTTAGCAGACTGAGTGATTAATTATAGAATCTGAATACTCTAGGTAGTCTGATGTTCCATTTATTGTATATAAAAATTTTAATTTCAGTGATTTAGATTAGAGATCTGGAGTGGCTCTGGACCCCTGTGTATTGGGATGTGGAAGAAAATATAGGATCTTTCTTTCCTTCTTTATTTTCTTCCTATTTTATTTTTTATTTTTAAATACTTTAAGTTTTGGTAACATACAAGTCGACATTGACACTCTGTAGGTCAGATGAGTTACAAAGAGGAGTTACAAAGAGGAAAGAGTGGAGTGGGAAGGCTGTAGGTCTACAGTGGCTCACAAGTTAAATTCTCACTTGTTTGCAGTTTGTTGCCATGAATTGCACTTTTTCCTAAGCCATGTAAGGTAGATATCCAGATTATAATAGCTTAAATAACAGAGAATACAGATGTGACAATGATGTGCGAGGCCATAGGTTCAGTCTTCAGCACCACAAAATGAAGGAGAAAGTCTTCCTAAAACTTTGTAACAATAGGAAGAGTAAAGTGAATCTCTTTTTACTTCGCATTTAGAATCTGTTTGAGATTTGATCTTTGAGATTTTTCCTTGTTAGCATAACAAGTATGACACTTAAGAAATATGTCAGAAGAAAAAAGCATTTTAAGCGCTTGAGGTAAACATGAATGAGAAAGTTAATTGCTTTTTTTTCCCAAGAAAGTTATACTATAGTGCAGAGTTTGCCACATTGTTTCTTGTAAAGATTCAGGTAGCAAATCTTCCCAGGTTTGCAGGCCATGCAGCCTGCTGCAGCTAACCAGCTGTGCCACTGCAGCACAGCAGCAGCTGTGGGCCATGAATTGGTAAATAATGGGTGTTGGCTGTGTTCCAGTAAAACTTTACTTACAGAAACAGATACATTATTGGTTGGTTATAGTTTCTCTTGCCATAACAAA